ATTGGTTCCTCCTGGCCACGTGCCCAAAGTATGTGAGGCAGAGCATTAAAATCCTTGCCTCTAGGGAGTAGCTTGATTTTACTATCACCAGGACAGACCTGTTCTCCTGGCAGTCCATGTTATGTTTAACACTCTCTCCAGCACCACAACCCAAATGCATCTATCCTCCTTCTTTATTCCTTATCATCCAGCTCTTGGATACATAGCAAATAATTGTGAAGACAGTGACCTGGATCAGGCTCACCTTAGTCTACAGACTGACATAGTTTCCCTTAAGTGCTCTATAGAGATCCCTGACAGCAGACTTTCTTAATGCAATTCATACATCTTTGCATTTCCTGACTACTCATGCCAAGAGTGTTGATTGTGGAACTAAGAAAACAGAAGTTATCAACAACCTCAGTCTCTTCTCTGTCCATCGTGCAGTTGCCACTTGGCCTAGTGGCGAGAATCTTTCTCTTCTTGATATTGAACATCAATCCATATTGAAGACTATAGTCCTTTACCTTCTGCAGCACGTGTCTCAAGTTTTCTTCAGTTTCAGCAAGCAAGATTGTGTCATCTGCATAAAGCAGTTTGTTGATGAGTCTTTGTCCAATCCTAATTCCACATTCCTCATAATCCAGCCTCCTAAATGATCTATTCTTCATATAGATTGAAAAGATATGGAGATAGGATGTGTCCCTGACACCCACCTTTCCTGATCCTGAACCATGCCGTTTTCTTCTCCTCGGTTCTGAATACTGCCTTCTGGTGCAAATATAGGTTATGCATGAACACAATTAAATGTTCTGGGGTTCTCATTCTTCTCAAGGTTAGCCACAATTTGTTGTGATCCACACAGTCTGATGTCTTTGCACAGTTAATGAAACACAGATAGACATTTCTCTGGTACTCTTTAAGCTTTCAGTCAAGATCTATCTGACATTGACTATGATATCTGTAGTGCCACAGCCTCTTCTAAACCCAGCCTGCAAATTTGGTAGATGTACTGATGGCAGAGAAGCTGATGTACTGTTCCAGTTGTTTCTGGATAATCATCAGCAAGATCTTGCTTGTGTGTGATATTAGTTATATTCAATAATTTCTACACTCTTGTTGGGTCACCTTATTTTGGAATGGGAGTAAATACAGATCTCCTCTAGTCAGTTGGGCAGGTAGTTGTCGTTTAGATGTCACGCTCAGGGCAGCATCTGTTTGCTGAAATATGTCAATTGGTATTCCATCAATTCCTTGGGCTTTGGTTTTTGCCAATTCCCTCAGAGAAGCTTGAACTTCCTTCTTCATCACCATAGGCTCTTGATCGTAAGTTGCTTCATGAAATTCTTCTCTGTCAACAATTCCTTTTGGTATAGTGCCTCTGTGTTCTTCTTTCATCTTCTTTGATGCTTCCTGGGTGGGAGTAGTGCTGCCTGATTTCATTGACTGATTTCATTTGACTGCATGGATTACAATGGGAATTCCTGCACACCTGGTTGTGCTTATGCAAAACCTGTACTTAAACCAGAATGCAGTGGTCAGAACAGAGCAAGGAAACTGTGTGGTTCAAAATCAGAAAAGGAGTATGCCAGGGATGTGTCTTGTCTCTATACCTTTCCAGTCTGTTAGAAGAACAGATCATTTGAGAAGCTGAACTTTATGAGGAGGAATGTGGCATCAGGATTGCATTATGCAGATGACACAGCTTTACTTGCTAAAACTGAGGAGGGTCTGAAGTTTTGCTGCAGAGGGTCAAGAACTGTAGTTTGCAATATGGATTGAAGTTCTACATCAAAGAGTCACCATTGGGCCGATTGGTAGCATCATGACAGTTGGATAAGAGATTAAGAGTGTTAACAATTTCAGCTTTCTTGGTTCCACAATCAACACTTTGGTACCAGCAGTCAGGAAATCAAAAGATGAATTGCATTAGGAAAATCTCATGTCAGGGATCTTGTCAGAGTGCTGAAGAGCAAGGATTTTGGTCTATATAGACCAAGGTGTATTTTAGAGAGAGAAAGAGAGAGAAAATGAATTAAAAAAAACCTCTGATTTGGTAAAATAGGGCAAATCTGTGCTAGATTTTAAACTTTGGTGAGGGCAGGGATAGTGTGGGGTTTGTTTTTTTTGTTTGTTTGTTTTTTTCCTTTCTACTCTGTTCCCTGTATGTAGAATGTTTTGGTTACAGATAGGGTGGACAGTCAAAATGTACTTGTTGAATGTTGACTGGTTAATTTGAGGAGATTACTTTTTTGAGATTATTACTTGAGTACAATAACAACGGCAACATAGAGCTACGTTAGCCTAGTGGATAGAAAGTTATGCTACCAAGCCCAAGGTGGGTGATTTTAATATGCAGCCCTGAGGCCTGGTTCAAATTGTTTTTCTATCAAACATTCTTCTAGGTAGTATAGCACTGGTCTGTGCATTGCTGTACAGAGGTAACTCATGGTTTCTGTTATGCTAAACACTGTGACACTGAAATGCCAAATATGATAATGGTTACCAATGGTGGACGGTGGCACTTCCCGATTAAAACAAGCTTGGAAGCAGGAGTGGCATCCGAAATGGCTTACCACTGGAAACTCTATGAATGGTGCTCAGGCCTTTCATTCATAGGGTCGCTATGAGTTGTCTAAGACTTGACAGCATCTAACAACAACAGTGTTGTATGCTGTTGAAGCAATTCCAAGTCAGAGTAGCCTGAAAAATAGATAAAAATGCCTCCTAGGGTTTCCATGTCTGTAATCTTTATAGTAGCAGACTGCCATATCTTTCTCTTGTAGATAAGCTTGTGGATTTAAGCTTTTTTTTTGGTCAGCAGCTGAGTGTTTACCACTATACCACCAATTAAATACTTCATGTAAATATAACAGTTAACATTTTCAAAGACCATCTTTTCAGACAAAGTCACTTTTAGAGTTACCAGGAGTTAAAAAAGTCATCATAATTTTGGGAGGTGGAGGAGACACAACTCCATTCATAACTGCTTTATTGAAGATGCCTTAGTGAATCTCACCATACTAATACTACCTCACAGTATTATTATTTGACTTGTTAGCTTTAATACCTGTTTTCTTGTCATCTCTGATGCCAATCTAAGTATCCTGGCAATCTAAGTCTCCTCGTTTCTAGTTGAGTCTTCCATTTTCAAGCCAGAGTTAGTGTGGTTTTAGAATTGTTCGTCTCTGAAATTTATTACTGATTTGTAAAAAATGCTGATTTATAATGATAGTGGTAAAAGAATGTTATTTTTTTTATACTGTGCTTTATTTTCTTTATTTTCATCTATCTCTTTTCCCCAAATGGTACTTGTAGGACAAGAAAGAGAAAAAAACCTCAGCAAGTTCTACTAGTATAGTATATCCTGTAAGATCAGTTTCTTCAGAAAAAAGGAAATTGGTAAGTGCTTGTATTCCATACCTAATTCTAAAAATGGTCTCTATTAAAGTTTTAGGGTGCAGTGTTTTCTCCTTGTATTTTCCATTCCTCCCCTAATATTATACTCACTTTTTGATAGCCAATAGAAAGAAATTTACTGTTTCGTTTTTCTCCTTATCCTTTTCAAAAACATTTTTCAGAGTTCTTTCATGTTCTGATAGATCCTTCCTTGTAGGAACAGACAACAGTGTTTTTTATACATATGGTTATATTTGATCTTCACAAGCTCATTTTGAGGTAGCCAGGGCGTTTATATTGTGAGCATTTTTAGGTTTCGAAATTGAGAACTAGCAAGTTAAATTATTTCTCCAACAGCACAGATTTGTGTATAGCAATAGAGCCAAAGTCTTTTCATTCTAATGCAAATAATGGAAAACAATGAGAACAGATTAGACAAAGTAATACAGAGTGAATGGTGAAGTGCTTACTACATTCAACTTAATGTGTATATTTGTTATTAGCTGCATACTGTTTTTACATACTGGGTTTTGTTTTTTCTCCTATAAACTGCTCTTCCACTTTATTATTCAGTTCCCACTCATAGTGCCCCATAGAGTTTCTAATGTTGTAAAATCTTTACAGAAAGAGATAAGCACTTAACCACTACACCTGTACACCTACTTGTTGCCATAGTAACCTTTTTAAAGCACAGATTTTATCGTATTTTCTTTTGAAATTATGTCAGTCACTTTTTATTTTATTTTGTCAGTTACTTTTTATTCAGCACCCTATTAAATTTGATTAGCCCTTATTTTCCGCCCCCTCCCCCATCTCTTCCTTCCTTGAAAGAGTTGTCTGTGTCTGGTTATTTTCTCTGTGCTGCCTTTATGCCAGCCATCTCCAGCTTCTTACACTAACATTTATAGTTTAAAATGCCCTTCTCTTTTACTCTATTTTTCATTCTTTAGTATGTATTTTGTTCACTGTGGTGATTCCTTTGCCTCTTTGGAATTTAGTATTTTTTAACTACTTTAGGACTCTTGCCTCTTCTCCTTTGACATTTAAAACAGTCAATGCTGTTGAGTGAGGACTGATGCACACCTGACCTTCGCTAAGGTTTCTGAGACACTAAATCTCATGGGAGGTAAATACCCATCTTGCTTCATTGAGCCATTGGTGGATTTGAGCTGCACACCTTGGGACTGTGCCACCAGAGCCTCCCTTGACATTTTAGTCATAGCCTCATGTATTAGGTTAACTAATTGTACATATCATTTTATACTTTTCATCTTTGTGCTTTACCCTATACTCTTTAGTAAAAGGACTATGTTTTATTTCTCTTTTATTCTCAAGATTAACCCTGAATCTACAGAGTGCACAGTGATAAGATGATAGAAAAGAATCATATCCAGTTTTAAATCATGTCACACTGTTCCTAACAAGATAACTTCACTCTTTCTAAGCTTTAAATGTTTTATCTGCAAAGTACAAAATATCTGTCTCACAAGATGATTGAGAGGATATAAATGATTATGAGCCTACTTGCTAAGATATGTATAGAAAAAGTACGGCCTGTGAATTCTCCTAACATGTACTCACATAGTCTGCATTATATAAATGGTTGACATGTTTTCTTACAGATACCAGATCATATCAATACTCAGTGTTGTAATGCAAAAAGAAAGCAAGAATTCCAAAGGTAATTTCTCTTCATCTGCAGTATCTTTGCTTTTTTGGTTTAGAATTGTGAAACAAAGTATATACATTTGTAAAATTCATTAGTTCCTTAGATTAGTATGATTTTGCATGCAAATGCTATAGTTATGGCATTGGCTGTGATTATTGAGTTTTACAATATTACTATAAATTTAGTGTAAAATAAAGGCTATCAAACTTTATGTTTTGTGAATGCCATTTTAAAATATACTGTAGTTTTTGTCAAGTAATTTGAATTTGAAACACATAAAATACACATATCATTACATAAGCTATTGGAGTAGCTTTGGGTCTGAGTTAGAAATTTTGGATAAGTTATCCTTCCACAGTATTTGTTGTAGTGTGCCATCAAGTCAGAACCAACCCATAGCTGACCCTCCAGCAGGTAGTCAGTAAATCACATGGGAAGAGATTGCGCATCCTTCTCCTGCAGAGCAGCTGGTTGATTTGAACCAAGTGCCTGTAGGATTACAGTGCACCAGGTCTCCCTATAGTGTCTGTAATGGGAATATATATCTCATTGAATTGATAGAGTTCTAAAACTGTATTGACCAATGTGTAAGTGACTTTAACTTGAGAACTTAATGAATAATGAATGACATGAATAGTGAAAATTACTCTTCTTTAAAATTTTTCATTTTTTAGATGAAATATAAGTGAACTTAGTGGTGAAGGAATTGCTTGCCACTAACATGGGTAAATCAAGGTCCTAAACAGTTTAATTCATGACAGTGGTGTAGTTGATAGGATGAAAGTTTCTTTGAAAATATGAATTATGGGAAGACATTTAAAATAGCATTAAATCTGTAAGTAAAAACTCTTCAAGTCAAATTCCTTTCTGCTAATAAACAAATTTTATCTGCTAGTCAATTCTATATTGGAGGAAGTGTGTCTAGGATGCTTCTTCGAGGCAAGAGTGATGAAATGTAATCTCCTAGACCTTGGGCACATTGTTAGGAGGAAGCAGTCCTTGGAAAAAAATACCATGCTGGGGAAAAATAGAGGGTCAGAGAGAGGAAGACCCACAATAAGATGAACTGGCACATTGACCGTAACAGTGCATGCAAGGATTAATGCTCAAGCATTAGGGTGGCACAGGATATGGCAAGATTTCTATGTGGTGTTCATTCCTAGGGCTGCTGTGAGTCATAGTCCACGACACCTAAAACAGCCAATAAAAACTTGATTCTGAATTTTTTTGTTTTGTTTTTCTTCTCAATTGTCTTCTGTTTATTGTTATTTTACTTTTGATATACTACTTTTATATCATTAGCTATTGAAATGTATTCTATGACAAGTTTCATGTTGTGTTAACTAATTTAAGTAGTTCTAGGCAGAATTTTAATACCTTTTACCTTGCATCATTTATTTTAGTTTTAATTTCCAAAACACTTTTTGACTTTTCACTGTTTGTCTTTTAAGGGCACATTTTCTAGCTTTTGTCTGGAAATCCTGTGTGGTTGATACTGTTGTCTGCAAAATGTAGTACATTTCATGAAAATACTCCTGAGTTGTTCATAGTTTTTCTTCTATAAATGTCTTTTTTAAAATATCTAAACAATAGTGCTTTATTGATAAAAGGTTAATTTTAATGAATACAAAATTGCTGTGTAAAATAGGTGTTTTCAAAATAGATTTCTATATTCTATAAATGTCTTGTTTGAGGAATTATATATTTACAGTTTTCTATTGAACAGTGAGCTAAATGTCTGTATTCAATATGCATTTGTCAAGTATAGGGAGCTCTGGTGGTCTAGTGGTAAGAAGCTCTGCTGCCATACCAAAGGCAAAAGGTTCAAATCCATCTGCTGCTCCTCAGGAGAAGGATGAGCAGTTTCCTCCTGAGTAAGTCACGGCCTCTGAAAACCTTCTGGAGGGTCAGCTGTGAGTCAGTTCTGACTTGATGGGACCTAACAACAACAGTGTAATTTTATAAACCATTTATAAACCATTAGGGATTTATTGAATTAAATAAATACATTATACTTGGTTGAATTTCCCCCCTCACTTTCTGTCTTCAAAGTCTATGTTAATTAAGTCAAAGTATTTCTCGTGGCTTAGTGGTAAGAAATTGTTCTGCAGTCCTAAAGGCACATGGTTCGTGGGATTAATTGCCTGTGAAAACCTGATAGATGGAATCAGTAGCACACAACAACATAGATTTGGCTACTTCTATCATTTCCATACATTTTTCCCCCTGACCTTTTACTGTACTTTTTAAAATTGTTAATGCCATTATTACATAAATGTCTAGATTTGTAACTTTTGTAAAGAACAAAATAGCAATATAAGTGCTTAGCAGACATTTTAAATAATTTTAAAACTTACAGCATGTTTTCTGCTTAATACATGAATTTGTTTTGTCAGATAGTTAAAAACCTTTTATGAGCATAATTTGAAATGAGTAGTCCATTGTTTTAAGCTTAGTTCTTTGGAGAAACAAAACCAATTAAATATATGTTATTGGTTGTGTACCATCAAGTTGAAACCAACTTACTGCTGGCCTTCCAGCAGATTTTCAGGGACAGTTAACTACATGTTAGGAGATTGCCCATCCTTCTCCTGTGGAGTAGCTGGGGGATTCTAGTTACATGTCTTTGGGATTACAGTGCAGCTTCCTACCACTAGGTATCAGAGCTCCAGTGCTAAATGTATATATGGCTTATTTCATGGCCCACACATTTGTGGAGGATCATAAGCTCCAAGTCAGTGAGTCAAGCATCAAACTATAGGCTTCTTCTGACTCACGTAGTTGTAACTGATGAACCTACAAGTGGCAGGTCAGCAACAGTTTAACTTATGAGGCTGCAGAAGCCAGTGAATCCCAAAATTGGCAGGTCAGATATCAGGCTGAAAGTTCAAGTCTGTGTATCCAGAGGCCAGATAATGAGCCTTGTTAGTGGTGTGTATGTGTGTTGTTGAGTGTACCATTGAATCAGAACTGATCCACAGCTGACCTTCCAGCAGGTTTTCAGGAGAAATCACATGAGAGGAGATTTCCCACCCTCTTCCAAGAAGTAGTTGGTGGATTTGAACTACATGGCTTTGGGATTGCAGTACAGATTCATACCATAAGACTACCAGAGTTCTATATATCTGCCTACACCCCTCTTCTCCCACACATATATATACATAGATTGTAGGTTGTACTCCTAAGGACACTTGTATCAGAATAAGAATGTGACTTGAATAAAGGTGTAATTTGATTGGTGTCCTCTCCTAAAGTTGTAGTTTTTGATACATTTAACACTAATGTTGCCACGTTAACATATAGAGATTAGAGTTTACAGCACATAAAATGGAGAATAATTATGTAAAAGAATAAAATGGAGTATAAGCACATAATTCTGGGAATCATGGTCTGGCCTGGTTGAAATATCATTAACCATCACATCTATCCAAGAGAAAATCATCATCATTGGACCAGTAGGCAACATTGTGGTTAGATTAAAAAAAAGCTTGAAGTTGTCAACAATTTCCCGCTATTTAAATTGAAAATCAGTACCTATTAGAATAGCAGTAAGAAATTAAAAGACATTGCATTGGGAAAATCGGCTCTCAAGAACCTCTTAAAAATGCTAAAGAGCAAGAATGTCAGTTTAAAGACCAAGATCTGTTCCTGATCCAAGCCAAGGTCTTTTCAGTTATGTCCCATGCATCTAGAAGTCGAACAGGGACTGCCAAAAGCACAAACAAGTCTGTGTTTGCAAAAGTACAGCCAGAGTGCTCCTTAGAGGCAAAAATGGTCGAACTGCCTCACATACTTTGGGGATGTTGTCAGGAAAGGCCAGTTTTTGGAAAAAGACATTATGCTGGGAAAGGCGGAGAGTGGTCAGACAAAGAGGGGAAAGACTGTAAGATGGATTTATACTACGAGCTTAATGGACTCAAGTATATTAAGAGATCACGAGTATGGCATGGGATAGGACAAGTTAAGATCTGTTGTTCATAGGGTTGCTGCTAAGTCATAGTTCATTTGATGGTACCTACCAATAACATCACATCTATAATTTGAATACATGGTATTTTTTAAGTAATTTCCAAAATCTTAACAATTAACTAGTATTTAAGTTTTTGATGTTATGGATAATCCTATATTAATTTTCTTTTTATTCCATTTTTCATCAATTTTTAATACTTTTACCTTAAGAATTCTGAAAAAGAAATTACTGATTAGTCAAACTATATGAATATTTTTGGAACATTTAACTCATATTGCCAAGTTTCTTTATGAACCAGTTATATAGTTTTGTATTTTCTCTAGCAGCATATGAAAAAGTCCATTTTATAATCTCTTGTCAGTATTTCAGGGCCCTGGATATATATAAGCACTTTGCACTCAGCTGTTAGTTAACTGGAACCTTGCTTTATGCTTTGCTATTTTCATGAACTCTGATTTGCTTAAGCACATTGCTGCAGTCACTATTTCAGCCCATCTTGTTGAGAGCCTTGCCCTCTTTCTCTGACCTTCCACCTGTCCCATTGATGTCTTTTTCCAAGCACTGGCTTCTCCTGGAAACATGCCCAAAGTCCATGAGACAGTTTCACCATCAGATCTGTTGTTCTGTGTTGCTGTGAGTCATAGTTGACTTGATGGGATGTAACAACGAAACATTTGGAAAAGTTAGTGTTTCAGATGTGACCAACAGTTCCACAGAGGAAGGTCCTAATGATCAGCTTTCTAAAGATTATTGCTAAGGAAGCCCATATGAAATAGTTTAATTCTGTAATACATATGATCACCAAGAATAAAATCAAATGATTGGCTGTGAGTTTGTTTACACCTCTCTCCTTACCCCCACCCCCAGGGTTTAATGTAATTTTTAAAATCTTTAATAATTTCTTGTTGTTGTGAGGTACTGTTAAGTGGAGCTTGAGTCATAGCCACTCTGTGAACAACAGATCTGAACCCTGTCCTCTACTGTGCCATCCTCACAGTCTCTGACACATTCAAGTCCATTGCTGTAGTCACTATGTCAGTCTACCTCTTTGAGTGTCTTCCTCTTTTTTGCTGCCTCTCCACCTTAATTCGTTATGATCCACATAGTCAAATATATTTATATAGTAAATAAAACAACTATAGACATTCTTCTGGTATTCTTTGCTTTCCTCCAGGTTGTATCTGATTTCAGTAATGATATCTCTGGTGCCATAGCCTCTTCTAAATCCAGCTTGAATTTCTGGCAGTTCTTTATATACAGTTCTAGCTGTTTTTGAATGATTCTCAGCAGTATTTTGCTTGCATGTAATACTAATGAAAATTGTTTGATAATTTCCACCTTCTCCTGGATCACCCTTCTTGGGAATGGGAACAAATATAAATCTCTTCCCGTCAGTTAGTTGGCCAGCCAGCTGTCCTCCAAATTTCCTGGCATAGTCTAGTTAGTGAGTCCAGGGCTACATCTATTATTTGAAACATGCCAGTTGATATCCTATTGATTCCTGGAGCCTTATTTTTTGCCAGTGCTTTTATTTTAGTTTGGACTTCTTACTTTCTTATCATTGGCTTTTAATCATATGGTATTTCCTGAAATATTTCAGTGTCAGCCAGTTCTTTTTGGTATAGTGATTCTATATACTCCCTCCATCTTCTTTTGATGCTTCCTGGATCATTCAAGATTTTGCTCCTATCATCTCTTAGTATTACAACTGGAGCTTATATTTGTTTTTCAGCTTGAGAGATGAAGAGCTAGTTCTTCCCTTTTTATTCTCTAATTCTAGGTCTCTGCATATTCTGTTATAGCAGTTTGCTTTGTCTTCTTGAACTGCTCTTTGTATTCCTCCGTTCAACTTGTTTACTTCAACATTTTTTCCCTTTGTTTTGACTACTTGATACTCTAGAGCAACTTTCAGGGTTCCTCTGACATCATTTTGGTTTTTCTTCCTTCTGATGTCATAATTTTATTCTAATAGACTAATTTTCATTTTCTTAAGCTTCAGTTTGAACTTCCACATGAGTAATTGATGGTTTGATATACATTCAGCACCTAGTCTGGTTTTGACTGCCAATACTGAGTTTCTCCAGTTATCCTTTCTATAGACATAGTCATTCTGATTCCTGTGCAGTCCATCTGGTGATGTCTATGTGTAAAGTTGTCATCTGGTTTTGTTTTTGTTTTTTTTTTTGTGGGGAAGTCTTTATGATGGATGAGTAAATTACTGAGTGCACACAAGTGCATTATTTCTTTCTAGCCTTGTTTCTTTCACCAAATCCATACTTTATGACTACTGTTCCTTCTCATTGTTTGCATTCCAGTCACTGATTATAATTAATGTATCTTAACTGCATATTTGTTCAGTTTTGGAATTAAAAATTTGTTAACAATCTTCAATTTCCTCCTCTTTGACTTTAGCTGTTGGTCGTATAATAATAGTCGTATTTAACAGATGTTCTTTGTATGCATATGGGTAATACACTATCACTCACAATACTGTATTTTAGGATAGAACTTGAAATTATCTTTTTAACTATGAATACAATACTGTAATTCTTTTTTCATTCCTGGTGTAACATACCGTGTCATTGTCTGATTCATAGTGGCCATAGCCAGTCCATCTCATTTTACTGATGTCTAGAATGTCAATGTCATGCATTCCATTTCATTTTTCACCACTTCTGGTTTTTCAACACTTGTACTTTGTACATTCCTTGTTCTAAGTATCAAAGAATGTTTGCAGCTGTTTCTCATCTTTTTTTTATTAGCTGCCAATCTGGGCTGTACCAATAATATTATAACTTAAACTTTCTGTGTTCCTTTATTGTTCTTATGGTTTTCAGAGGTCTACCATTTCACAGGTTTAGTAGAAGAAAAATATTATGTTGCTGTTGTAGTTAGCTTGTATCATTACTATAGAAGTAAATTTTTTTCCCCCTATATAGATTTCTATTCAAGAATCTTAGTATTTTTTTATGAGCTTTTAATGCAAATAGCTGTCAGGGAGTTCTCTAGAGTACTGAGGAGCAGTAATGTCAGTCTGGAGACTAAGGTGCACTTGATCCAGGCCATTGGTCTTCACAGTTACTTGCTATGACAGTGACTAGGGAGGATAGAAGGAGAAGTGATGCCTTTGAGCTGTGGTGCTGGAGGAGAGTATTGAATATACTATGGACTGTTAGGAGAACAAATAAGTTCGTACTGGAGAGGGTGAAACCAGGCTGCTCCTTGGAGACAAGGGTTCTGAAGCTTTGTCTGACATACTTTGGACATGTTACAAGGAGGGTCTGGTTCTTGGAGAGGGACATCATGTTTGGGAGAGTGGAGGGACAGCCCAGGAGAGGAAGTCTCTGGATGAGATGGATTGACTCAGTGATTGGGGTAATGGAGGTAGGTGTTTCAGAGACAATAAAATTGGCTCGGGATAGAGGAAGGTTCAGAGCTGTTGTACGTAGAGTCACTGTGAATTACAAGTGACTCGATAACACGTAACAACAATATCACCTATCTAGCAAATATCACCTCTTGGTTCTTTCAGTTTTATTATTTTATGTTATATTTTTTAGGTAAATAATCTCATACTGTCACTTTTTTTTAATTTGTAATTTCATCCACTACTGTTAAACTTAGAAATTTCTCAGTGAGCCACTTTATGAGTTTTTATTGGTTTAATATCAATTATAACAACAACTAAATAATAATAATTTCTACTTCTGTCTTTAATATATTTGGGATGTATATTGTCTGGTATGTTTCTTGAAGAAGCTATTTTTTGAAAGCAGATATCGTACTTGGAAAGGTGAGGCATGAAGAAGAGGAAACCCCCCAGTGGGATGGATTGACACAGTGACTGCAGCAATGGGCTCAAGTGTGTATCAGAGATCATGAGGATGGAACAGAATAGGACAGGGTTCAGGTCTATTACTCAGAGGGTTGCTATGAATTATAGTTTCTTGGTGTCACCTAACACCATCACCAACAATAGTATATATGAAAGTATATTGTTGTTGTTATGTGCTGTCAAGTCGTTTGTGACTCATAGCGACCCTATGTACAACAGCCCTAACCTTGCTCTATCCTGTGCCAATTGCACTGTCTCTGACACGCCCATCCCAATTACACCAGTCACTAAATCATTCCACCTCATAGAGGGCCTTCCCTCCTGCACTGTCCCTCCACCCTCCCAAGCATGATGTCCCTCTCCAAGGACCCGTCCCTCCTTACAACATGTCCAAAGTATGTTAGATGGAGCCTCAGAATCCTTGCCTCCAAGGAGCCTCCAGCTTTAACCCTTTCCAGGATGAATCTGTTGGTTTTCCTAGCAGTCCATGGTACATTCAGTACTCTTCTCCAGCACCACAGCTCAAAGGCATCAATTCTCCTTCTCTCCTCCTTAGTCGTTGTCCAAATCTCTGATGCATAAGAGGTGATAGCAAAGACTATGACCTGTATCAGACTCACCTTAGTCTCCAGAGAGATACCATGGAAAGGTCCCTAACAGCAGACTTTCCCATGGCAATATGTCTTTTAATTTCCTGGCTACTGGTGCCAAGAGTGTTGACTGTGGAGCGAAGCAAATTAAAACTGAACAATCTCAATCTCTTCACCATCCATCCTGATGCTGCCAATTGGCCCAGTGGTGAGAATCTTTGTCTTCTTAACATGGAGCCTCAATCCATTTTGGAGGCTGCAGTCCTTGACCCTCTGCAGCAAGCACTTCAGGTCCTCCTCAGTTTCAGCAAGGAGGGTTGTGTCATCTGCATAAAGCAGATTGTTGATAGATCTTCCACCAATCTTGATGCCACATTCCTCCTCATAGAGCCTCCCAGAAAATCTGCTCTGCATACAGGTTGAACAGGTATGGAGACAGGACATATCCCTGGTGTATGCCCTTCGCAATTTTGAACCATGCAGTGTTTCCTTGCTCTGTTCTGACGACTGCCTCTTGGTTCAGGTATAGGTTTTGCATTAGCAGGATCAAGTGTTCTGGGATTCCCATTCTTCTCAGAGTCAGCCACAGTTTGTTATGATCCACATAGTCAAATGTCTTTGTATAGTCAGTGAAACACAGATATACATTCCTCTGGTATTCCCTGCTTTCAGCTGAGATCCATCTAACATTAGCTACAATATCCCTAGTACCATGACCCCTTCTAAATATGTATATAAAATTTATTTTTGCCCACATAATTAGTAATTTCAAAATAGTTGTTGCTTAATCCTTCCAATTTATTCTTAATGTTTAATGTAGTAATTTTTACTTTTTCTGAAGTTCATGTCAACCCAGTTTTGTCTTGCATTGGAAAACTGTACAGAGTAACATTATGTTTATGTAATATAACCTAGTTTTCTGTGGTGTTTTTACAGATTCACTGTAGAAGGTGATGCTTCAAGAAAAAGGATAAAAATCAGTTCTTCACCTCAAGGACCTGTTAAACTTCAAGAAGCATTATTTTCAAATGATCATCAAATTATTTCACAGAGTCTCTCGTCAAGTGTAACCAAGACAGATATAAATAAATGTGTAGATTTAAAATTTACAGGTATTAAATTGCCAAATGTTCAGTGTAAGCTTGACCATGAACTTACAAACTTTGGCAATCCTAAGATCACCAAAGATGTGAAACCTAACGTTGAATGTCTTACAAGTGATATAAAAAGGCCTCATTTACTTCCTCAGAGCCAGAAGATGAAAGACTTCAAGAAAGAAAAGAACAGTAAATTTAGAGACAGTACCGAAGTACAAGAGAAATACAAGAGAAGTGAATCGTCTCAGGATTATACTACGAACAAGATCATTAAAGAAATATTCGAGTCTAGAAGAAAGATCAGTTTCAAAATCCCAATAAAACCCCACCAAACCCTCCAAAAGAAGGCTGTAGCAGAAAAAGTCTTCAGTTTAGGTCCTAAAAAGTTAGAGAATAAGCAAGAGAAAAGAGAATGCCCAGACAACTCGCAGGTTTCATTGAATTTGAATAGGCATAAAATTGAATATTTGTTTACAGATTCTATATATAAAACTATTCAGGAGTGGAAAAGGAAGCGTCAAGAGCGTCAAGAAAAAAATGATTCAAGACCTGGTAAAAATATAACCCAGGTAAGATACTATGAAATAAGGATTATACTCTTCCAAAGTTTATTTAATGCATCAAGTTTGAGTTGCTATTGATAAATACTATCATTATTGATCATGGTGATAGATGGCTGATTCAAGTTTAGGCCCTTTATTTTGCCCTGTCTCCCCTTTAAAGCCATCTTTCTTAAGAAGGAGTGCTAGCATATGTCAAAGACCTGTAGTCAAAGGGGAATATATAAAAATATGAGGGTGAAAACGGTATTAAAAAACCCACTTAACATCTAATCCTTTGAGACAAATAGTTCCATTAACCCTTAAGCTCTTCTCTAACTCCAGGTACTTAACCCTCATGGGTTCATATTCTGAAGAGTTTATTCCTTTAAGACATTATTTCTTTATAGTGGCACCATGTCTTGGAGTGAAATAATACAGATTATAAGGGTCATAAAATTTCTGTTTTCATAGGCATTTATACAAAGAGATATAATTAAACAAGTTCAACTTTCAAGTATCACATAATTCTTTCCAATATCACAACAGAGGATTAATGAATATTTTTAAAAGGACTATACAAAGGGTTACTAAAAGAGGTAGCTTTTAAACTGAAAACTAAAGAGTGAATGAAGTGGGGTGGAATAGAAGAAGCAAAGACATTTTCCAAACTGAAACTAAATCCATTGTTTTCAAGTAAGTTTAGACTCATAGTGACCCTCCATCAAATTTCTTTACATTAAGAACTCTCCATCTTTTTTCCTAACAGTGCTTGGTAGATTCACACTGTTGATCTCTTGATTAAGCAGCCTGATGCACACCATCAGGATTTCTTAGAGATATTTCAGACAGAAGGACATGTTTGTACAGAGATCCAGCCTAAAAAATTGGCACATTTTGCTCCTAAATGGCTATGTGTGGACTCATTTTAGATACTATTCTCTATGGCATTGTTCCTATGGAAAATACATGATCTGAAAAGAGATCTTTTAGGACACTGGAACTTTAACTTCAGAAATTATCATTGTTTTATGAATAAGACTGGTTGTGTGAGGTCTAGTGTGAGGTCTTGCAACTATAGATTACAGAAGTCAGATAGATGCTCCTTTTGAGAAAATGGTCATCTTAGGAGACTAGAAGAGCTTGGGAGAGAGGTGTGTAGTTCAAATGATCTTGATGGTACCCAAAGAGGTAAAAAATTCATTCTTTTTACTACTTTCATAGAGGAAATGCACTCTAGTTCTTTAAAGTATTTCAGAACCAGTTCTGTAAAGTAGAATGAAAGAAAAGAACTTGACATTGCCATAAAGTTAAATGGTAATTGTTGCCATTAGTTAGTGTTCCTTTTATTCTGAATTCTAAGAAATAATATTTAAAATATGCATAGTGCATCTTCTGGATCTTTTAATTTCATAACCACATGTCTATACAGAATTAATACACAGGCGAGCTCTGGTGGCCTAGTGGCAAGAAGCTTAACTGCAATCCTAGAAGTACGTGGTTCAAATCCACCAGATGCTCTGCTGGAGAAGGAGGAAAAATCTCCTCCTGTACCAGTCAGATCTGATTTGATGGTACACACACACAAAATTAAAAAAAAATAATAATTAATACACAAATTTAAAGAGATACAAAACACCTTTATTGAGTAGTAGGGAAAATACATCCCCCCCCCCAATTATTGAATAAGGAACAGATACAACATAGGAGTCATTGAGTCCCCATCAATAATATCCATAGTACTAAGCAAATAGCTACAGACATGCCACCCCACATGGTATTGCACCTATTTCTACCAATCATTGGGTCCAATGTTCATTTCAATTTGATTTACAGACTTTACTCACAGTTGTGGGATATTAGGGAAATAGGTTGGGGTGCTGGGGAAGGTGCAAAGAATATCCCACAGTGCAAGTCCAAGTTTAGTCCAGGAGTCCCAAACCAGATTAACAACAAGATATAATTCTTCAGTTAATAAAAGTCCAGGTTCAGTTCAGTAGCACGAATAAATTCACTTCTGGTTTCCTCAGTCATACAGCAAACCATCTCAACGTTACAGGTCAGCTTTTCATTCAGATATCCAGCCAGTAAAACTATGCCTCCATCTTCAAGATTGTTTTGGTTACACCTTGCCTCAGCCTATTCACCTTACCTCCACCATCACCTCACAGTGTGGATAGTACTCTCTTATATTGTTCCCACAATTGTTGATGATTTATAAGACCATGTGTCTGCAGTTAAGGAACTAGAGACTTAACCTCCACTGGGAGCATGGATAGAAAAACCAATTATCAAGGTTTTTCATATCACAATACAAGTTATTGGAATGAAGACCTTTTAAAAGTATCTCTGATGGCAACCTTCCTGATCTAAAGTAATTTCAGTACAAGAGCAACAGTAAAGCATTCTTACCCTGGGTTTATTATTAACAACTGTTGTCTCAACACTGTATTTATGGCTTTGTTTTTCTCACTAATTCTTTTCCTGAAGTCAGTCATGTTCTTTAAAAGGAAATAAAGATAGTGACCAGGCTACAAATAATATGTTGTTTTGTTTTTTTAACAGTAATTTAAAGTTTATTCCAGCTATTATGCAGGTTATTCTGACTTGAAGGTGGCATCACATGGCATACTTCTGAGTCCATTCCCAAGATGCTCTGATATTTATCTGTCTGTTTTATAGATCTGTGCTGTCTTTGGCACTAGGAGATCATCTGTATTTGAATCACTCTGCAGTGAACAAATGGATAAAAGAACTTTAGAAATAGTTAAAGCAGGAGACCACTGTGATCTTAGTATATTGAGACAAATGCTGCCATTACTATTAATATTAGGATGATAAGTTCTTGTTGTAAATGCAGCCTTAGGTGGTTTGGAGGAGTAATCTGTTGGAAAATGAATTGCCAAAGAGAATATACCAAAAAAAAAAAAAAGAGAATATACCACCTTCATATGGGTTGTCATTAGGTCCCATAATTGTGGCTTGCCAGTGAAACATCTCTCTAACTGGACCTGCAAAACATTGTGCTGGAGTATTGTGAGCCAAACCACTAAGTTCCTTGTTTTAATCTGGTTCAGCACCATAGTCTGTGCTTTTCACCTGGCTCTACACTATCTCAGTGTGTGCTCAAAGATCTGGCCAAAACTCGCTTTAATTATCTGGGCAACAGGGAAGGATTGCCTCTTCTTCTCACACTGATTCTGCCAGACACAGGTGAAAAGGGGCCGGGGCCTCTCTCAAGATGTAGCCTCGGCCTCCTCCCGCATGGCAGCAGGTGCTTCCCTGGCCCTACAAATAATCTATTTTAAGAAAGCAACTACTTGCTTTTTAAATGCTCGTCTAAACAAAAAAGGTTCCATTTAAACAAAGCAAAACAAGAACAGACCAGAAGCGTTTACCATTTGGTAGATTTGTCATAGTATGCAGGACAGAAAAAATTACTGTTTTGAGACATGGCATGAGAGACTCAAGTGGCATAGTGACCTGTTTCAGAGGCTAAATACATTACACTAATTATTGGCAAGCTTTTGGTGGAGAGACACTTTCAAAGTAGTGTGTCACTATGTTTGAGTGGATGCTGCCATTTTTGAATTGGATAGTGCTGCTTTGGACTATGCTTAAAATCCAATGGCAAGAGATTTGCAGTGCTGGGTAATGCATATGCTGCTGCTCTTCTGTAAGAGAGAGATTGAGATTTCTAGCAGGGCTTCCACCTGGATTTTCTGTGTTTATTTCTGTGATGCTTTGTAAAGACACAGTTTGGAATCGAATTTGTTTGCCAAGTATCAACTAAATTTTCTAGGTTCCTTTCAAAAAAAGAACCAAATCCTCTGTTTCTGACTTGATTCTAATTCTTGGTGACCTTCCATCAGATTTCCAAGGCTGTAAATCTTTACAACTGGCGACTGCCCATCTTCCTCCAAGTGGATGGTGGAGTCTAACCACTGACCTTTTGGTTAGCAGCCCAGAAAGAAGAAAGTTGAGTAAATAACTATACTTGCAATATGTTGAATAAATACTAGATTAATAACAATTAAAGGTGGCTTGGTGGCAAGAAGTTGTGCTGTAATTCTCAAGGCACGTAATTCAAATGCACCAGTTGCTCCACAGGAGAAGGATGGGTATTCTCCTGTGCGATCAACTGCCTCCGAAAAGAGAGGCAGTTGTGGAGAGTCAGCTGTGGGTCAGTTCTGACTTGACAGTACACGACAACAATAACAATTGAGTCTTCTACACACAACAACAGTAACAGTTGAGTGCAGATGTTATGACTTCATTGTGTATTGATTTCCACATCTCTTAAATAACAGTTGAATGTGGTGGTAATATAAATATTTGGATGAGTTAAGGAAAGGTTTGCTTAAGGTAGAGATACTTAAGCATAGTTTTGAAGACTATATAGGATAAAAGAAAATTCTCTCCAGGCAGGGCAGAGGGCCATTGTATATAATGCCATGAAGTTGGGAGATCTTATGGTACTTAAGGATTTACAGCCCTTGAAAACCTGTGGGGTAGTTCTATCCTATATGGTTGCCACAAGTCAGAATGGATTAAATAACAATGATTTGCTTTGATTAACTTAAAAATTTAAAAAAAATGCAATATGGGAGAGGAAGAGGAACAATTAAAAACACACTGAGACTTTTATTTGTTTTCAGAGACAATTGATAATGAAGAGTGCTGTTGAGTTATTTAAGATGAAAACTGAATTCCTAGTACTACATTGCTGCATATGATATATTTATTTAAAAAGAATCTGGAATTTATACCCAAGTAGCGCTGCTGGTTGAAGAAATCCACTTATAACTGAATGATTGACAGTTGAAACTCACCAGCTGCTCGATGGGAGAATAATGTGCAAATCTACCTCTGTAATTCCAAGATAGCAGTCTTGGAAACTTATGGGACAGTGTATTCTGCTTAATAAAGGGTTGCTTTCACTCTTATTTGGTGGCATTAGGCTTATGGGTCATTTTACCATAAATTATTTTTGGTTGCCATTCAGTTGTCAATTCTGACCCATGGTGAGCCCCTGTATACAGTATAGAAATGTCCCATAGGGTTTTCAAGTCTGTTACCTTTAGAAACAGATTGTCAGACCTGTCTTCCAAGCCGTGAGTTAATTAAAATTTCCAACCTTTTAGCTAACAGTTTAGCATTTAACCTTAGAGCTTCCTTTGAAATACATATGACTTTGGAGTTCTCTTCAGGACTTTTTAAATTTAGTAGTGCTTTTGTTGAGCTCAAATTCAAAGTTTTACAAGTCTCACCCACTAAGGGAAAAAAAAAGCTTATGTAAAATTGCCACTTGTAAGCTTTCAAGACCTTTCTACTTACCTCTAGTCCTTGGTGCTCTTAACTACTTAAAAATAGGACTTCATATTCCAGCCATTTCCTCTCTGCTATATTATCATTTTCAAAAATTGTCTTTTTGTTTTCTCATATAACTTTAAAAATGGTTCACCTATTCACAGGTGAAAATACCCCACCACTGAAGGTTCTTTTCTATATTTTAAAATGGCATATAGCTTTATCTTTGGAATCTGATTATGTTTAGAAAATGTGTAGGAATGAAGAAACTCTAAGACATTTCAATCATTTATCATGGCTTGAGACATTTCTATGGCATTGGGATTGACTCATAGCTAACCCTCAAGTAGGTTTTTTGGAGACTGTAAATTGCACAGGAGGAGATTGCCCATCTGTTTCCCACATTGTGGATTCGAACTGCCAGAGAGGGGCTACCTTTGGATTAGTAGAACAACTCTGCCCACTGCTGTTACCTGCTTTCAAGTTGGAAACAATTCCTAGTTGACCATCCAACTTTTCAGAGGTTGTAAATCACAATTGGGGAGATTGTCCATATTTCTCCTGTGGAGCAGCTGGTGGATTCAAACCTTTGAAGTGACAGTGTAGCCCTTTGCTACTAGACCACCAGAGAGCTCCTTTCTATCCACGTGGCCGCAAAAAATCCACCTAAAATTCATTACTGTCGAGTTGGAACTGCCTTATATCTGCCATTCAAGCAACTTTTCAAAGGTAGTAAATGGCATGGGAGGAGATTGCCCATCTTTCTCCCACAGAGTAGCTGGTAAATTTGCACTGCCTGGTTTTGTATTGGCAGTGCAGTCCCTTACCCAGGGAGCCCTAATTCCTCAGCATACAGTTATTTTCCTTAAATCATTCATGTATTTTAAAAGGAAATTCTATATATTACAACTTTTCACTGGCTCCCCCCCCCCCCCCATAACAGCTCTCACCTAGGTGCAGTTTTGCCTGCCAGAGGATATTTGATAAAGTCTGGAGTTATTTTTGATTTTTACTACTTGCAGGGGTGGGAGATAGGGGGGAAGGGTGCTACTGACATCTAGTATGTAGAGGCCAGGGATGCTGTTAAACATCTTACAATGTACAGGACAGTCCCTGACAACAAAAAGTTACTTAGTAACTCATTGTCAATAGTGCTGAAGCTGAAAACCTTGCTTTTGGTGTATGCTTCATTCTTAACTAAGGAAATTACTTTTTGTTCCAGGGTCTTGAAGCCTCCTGTTCTTCTATGTCACCTGAAAGTGCTCAAGACACAGATGAAGAGGTTACTGATAGACTTATCTACTTTGAATATTTTTAATGCAATTAAGTTAAACAGTTCTTACTTTAAATATAAAAATAATTATAAAGGCTTGGTAAGATGAAAGTAACAGTGATATCTGTTTTAAAATCAGTAAGTTTTTAAAAAGCTGTCAATAACTGGAAAACGTTTACTAACACCATCTTTTTTGCCATTGTTTCCAGTATACTCATCATTTGTGAATAAAGAGGAGGGAGTCAGTGGCCCACATATTATCTAAAATTTGTATTTTGTCATGCTTTTATAAATTTATGCCTCAGGCTGACAAAATACTATACAATAGTAATAATAAGTTTTTACTTTGTCTTCCTAGTCAACAGTCTTACAGAAAAATCTGTTGAGTACACAAATGTCTCTTATCTCTTGCTTCATTTTCCAATCAGGACTTCCTGATTGACCCTGATAGAATTAGTGGCTAGAATTTTATGTTCTCTGTTCTTGAAATAATATTAAATTTATAGAATACCTTTTCTATTAAAAGAAGACTTTGAATTAATACTGGTTCTTTTTTATTTGTAATAGGCAGTTATATTTTTCTATCTTTGGGTCAGTGCCTCTTGATAAAATGAAGAAAATGTCTTACCTCTCTTTTAAAGAATAAAGAACCAAACTAGATTATATGCTCGTTTATTGATACCTATTGATGTTAGGTAACTAGTTTAAATCTTTGACGGTTCATAAACCATATGAGAAATATTAAGGGGAAAAAACTTAGCAACCAGAAAAAACTTATTTTGAAAGTCTACAGTGTACCTGGTTTTATGTGAAATGCTTCTCAAAGCTTATATTATTAATTAGCACAAAATCTGAAAGGATCTAGGTATTTAATGTTCATATTTTACAGATGAGCAAACTGAGACTCAAAAGTTAATTTGTAAAAAAAAGTTAAATTGTTTGCTTTAGTTTACATAGAACTCTTTTTGAAGCTACATGTATTTGTAAATCCTTCTTTTTTCATGCTGCCTCCATGTTTTTGTAAATGTCTTCTTTACACAGACTTCATCTTATGTGACCTTTTACCTTTCTTTTATTAATTTTCAAAGTAAATAATTTAAAAGAATTTATCATGAGCCTTTTACAATTTAGATGCAGATAGTAGAAGAGCTTCATGCAGCCCGTGTGGGAAAAAGCATGGATTTACCTGTGGTTCCATCTTCTGGAGAGATAATGAGTATGGAAATTGACTTGGTGGAAGAGGATATACATTCTTCTGCGGGTATAATTTATATGTTACTATTTGTGCACTAGGTGTTGTGCTGTTAACTGAAAGGTTAGCAACTTCAATTTACAAACTGCTGCAAGGGAGAAAGATGGACCGTGTTCTCCTCTATTAGGTTTAGAATGTCAGAAATCCAGTGAAGGGTTGAAATGAATTAGAACCTACTTAACGGGCAGTGAGATTGGATACATTTTGTTCTGTTTTAAGAATAATATGCCAGTATAAAAGAGAAAGATGCTAAAATGAAGTGCCTTAGCTATAAGAATTAAGTATAATATTTTGTCTTATAATTTATATTTCTTACACATGATACACTTGGATATAGCATCTCTTTTTTGTCAAGGTGCACAAATTGGCATATCTTTTTATTCTTCCTTGAAATCATAATTTTTAACAATTGCAGTGATGAAAAAAAACAACTGCAGTGATGAAGTAATGAAAAAATGTAAATTGCTCGATTATCTTCATGCATTTACTTTTTATATTTTCAAATTTTTGTTGTTCTTGTGACTGGAAGAAAATAAAGATAGACTTATATAAAATTCATTATTATACTGTTTTCAGTTGCATACATAAAAGTTGTAATATGCCTTAAATACACTTGGCATTTTCTAAATTATTAAGTTCTTCCATGTGTATTAATTTATTTGATCCTCACAAAAGCCTTTGAAGATAATAATCTTGCATTATGTGGTTTGGGTTTATCCATATTTATCTTTTCAATAATATTTCGCTCAAGCTGTATTAAAACTGGCTTATAATTCCAGAGTATACAGCTACTACTAATATAAGACAAAGTTTAGAAGCATGTTATTATGATAAGTCAGTTTATCATTTAAAATTCTCCCCCAATTATATTCTAAAATATAAATATAAATGTTAAATAATTTAACATTGATTACAATTCTTTTTCTTAAGAATTGGTATTAAAGCTATTTTCTCTTTAAAAGAAAGCTATAAAAATCCTTTATTATAAAAGTTTTAGTTAACATATGTCCATCATCAGGTACAGTAAAGCTTGTCAATATTGGAACCTTTGTAAGGTAGAAATTAGACAGGTGGAAAGCCCAAATATTTTCCGTTATAACAAATTATAAGACAACACCCTCTCAATGCGGGAAAATGTCTAAGACCTAGAAGACAAAGGCTGTCCCTTCAGGTTCTGGCTCTTCTAGGTTTCCCTGCCTCATGAAATGATGATTAGATATTAAAATCATAACTTTGTTCTTTTCTAGAAAATACTGCTTCAGAGAAAAAGCTTCTCATTGTTATTGACACAAATATTCTAATGAATCACCTCAAATTTGTTAGAATTTTGAAGACTACAGAAATACCAGGTATTTATAAAACATATTAACTGATTATGACTTTCTTTAACTAGAGTAGAGATTTTAAATTATGAGTACGAATAGTATTCACATTTAGATATGCTATTAAACATGTATATTAAGCATCATAATCTAAAGTAAATAAGAACTTCCACAAGTTAGTAAGGGAACGCTGGTGGTGTAGTTCATTGTGAGTTGTGCTGCTAACGCAAAGGCTGCACTTTGGTAGTTCTAATCCACTAGCAGCTCCACAGAAGAAAGATAGACAATCTCCTTCCATGGGGTTAACAGCCTTGGAAACCCAATAAGAGGGTCAGCCAGGAGTCAGAACTGGAATGAATTTAGGGTGGCCACAGGCTAATCTGGGAATCTACATTTACTTTTCCCAGGCCTAGTGGCAAGAAGCTGCACTGCAGTCCCAAAGTCACACAGTTCAAGGCCACCTGCTGCTCTGTAGGTGAATGATGGGCAGTCTATTCCCACATGATTAACTACCTCTGAAAACCGACCGGAGGGTGAGCTATGGGTTGGTTCTGACTCTACAACAACAACAACAATCCCTTTGTGGATAGCATAAACTTACTACTCTTTGATTAGCAATATTTCTTTTTATCACATGCTTTTGGCATATGAGTAAAAAAAGAAAAAAAAACCCCACTCCACCATGTTTTTATGTATTCTCTCTCTTTTTATATAGTGAGTTCTTTAATGTTAGTTACTGTGTGCTCTAAAACTTTGCATTTCTCTACAGCTGATTGATATGTTGTTATGTACCACTGAATTGGGACTGTCTTAATAGCTGATCTTCCAAAGGGTTTTCAGAGGCAGTTAATCACATTGGAAAAGATTGCTCATAATAACTCAATGAGTATTTGCTAATTTTTTCTTTCTTTTTTAATATTAATTTCAATGAAAATTTACAGAGACTGGATTTCCATTCATTCATTGTTGCACTTTTCTCCTCTCCCAACCTTCCCCCCTAGTACACTACCTTTTTGGAAAAATAAAAGAAAAATTCTTTCATTGTTTTACAAATCCTCACCCCCAGGTCCACTCCACTATACAGCCTTCGCTCTGGACTCCTATCATGACAAAAATACCTAATCACATACCCTTTTAAACAGTTTTCTCCCTCATCTGTTTCAAGGCAGTATATATTATTGAACCCATCTTTCTCAGTCTCCCCCCAACCCTGAGGTCAGTCCTGTTTTACAACTGTGGCACCATGCAGTATTTATCCTTTTGTGACTGAGAGTAAGAAATCTTTTTAAATTTTTAGGCTTTGATAGATTTGTCTTGATAATTCCCTGGGTTGTTGTGCAAGAACTAGATCGACTGAAGACGGGAGAACTACTAAAGCATGTCCAGCATAAAGCTATACCTGCAGTTCATTTCATCAATGACAGTCTGAGAAGTCCAGATAGAAAACTATGGGGTCAATCAATACAACTTGCATCTCAAAAACTTTGTAAGTATTGTTCTCTTAGGGTGCTCCTAATCAATTAACGTTGTTTGAGTATTAACTAAGTAATAGAAGAAAATATTGCAAAGCTGTTTAAAAATTTGTGACTATTGGAATGTAAAATAGCAGGATATTTTACGTGATGATTTGGGAATATTTTATTAGGTTTGCTGCTGTTGTTAGGTGTTATCAAGTCAAATATGACTCATAGCTACCTGAAGCACAACAGACCTGAATCCTGTTCTCTCCTGTGCCATCCTCATTAGCTCTGATCTACTTGAGCTCTTTGCTATTGTCACCATGTCAATCCATCTCATTGGATATCTTCCTTTCTTTCCCAGATCCTCCACCTTTCCAAGCATAATAACTCTTTCCAAGGAATAACCTCTCCTAGCAACATATTTGAGATGTTCTGTGAAGGCCTTTTATTAACTTGCTTCTCCTAAACTGTATGGGTAATTAGATTATCTCTAATTTTCAGATAGAGACTGAATTGCCCTCTGCATTTAGTTCTTTATATTGCAGTACTTTGGATCAATATGTTTAAATGCCATTGCTGCACAACGAAGCCATTAATTTATCTCAGTTTCTATTCTACCACTTCATATATTTGAGGCAGGCATTACTCATCTTGTGGTTTGTCAGAATTTATAATAGGGAGGTTTGTCAGAATCTGAATGCCTATAGATTTCCCCCTGAGGTTACAAATTTTTAAAGATTTAAGTAATTTTCTAATTACTTTAGGTCTGGAACCTAATTTTTTTTATATTTGTGTGTATGTGTGTATATATGTGTGTGTATGTGTTTGTGGAGGGAGGGGCATACACAGTTGTTTGTGAGGTAAACTTTTAAAAATATTATTATTACTATTATTATTTTTCTTCTTAATACTTTTATTTGTCATGG